CTCCTCCCTCAGACTCAGCGGTGTAGACCCCATCCTCCTCCCTCAGATGTAGTGATCCAGACCCCAGCCTCCTCCCTCAGACCCAGGGGTCCAGACCCCAGCCTCCACCCTCAGACTCAGCGGTCTAGACCCCAGCCTCCTCCTTCAGACATAGTGATCCAGACCCCAGCCTCCTCCCTTAGACCCAAGCCTTCTCCCTCTTCCTCCCTTGGACCCTGGCACTCAGGCCCACCTTTCCCCAGGGCTTGAATGGCGTCTTTAAATAGCTTCTCCTTGCTCTTCAGGTCTGTGGTTTCTTTCTCCCAGTACCAGGGCACCTGGCTCTCCCAGACCCATGCCCCGCAGGGCTCAGCCCATGGCCGCAGGCTGCTGTAGCTCAAGTATTGTTGTGGACCCAGCCAACCGGAGGCCCAGAAGGCAGGGGTGCCGGGGGCAGGGTTGGTCACAGCGGTGAGGTGGTAGAGGAGGGAGAGCTGGGGCTCTGTGGAGGGAAACAAGCTGGTGGGGTGTGGGGACCTACACCCTCAGCCCGAGGGCACTATACACACATGAGACTGCAGTCAGGGGCAGATAAACAGAGACCAGAGAGACAGACAGACAGCAAGACAGGGGGACAGAGACCAGGAAAGAGAATGAAGACCCAGAAGGAGGAACAGAGACCCAGGGAAGAACAAAAGGAGACAGACAGACAGACAGAGACAGAGAAAGACAGAGACAGACAGAGACAGACAGAGACAGAGAGGTAGGGAGAGACAGAGACAGAGGCAGAGAGGGAAGGAGGGAAAGAAAGTGTGTGTGTGGGGAATTGACTGAGATTAAGATCCAAACAGCTTTTTCTCTCTCAGAAACCAAGAGAGGGGAAGAAGATCTCAGAAAGAAGGGGACAGACACCCACAAAGAGAGGGACAGAGACCTGGAGAATGGGCAGAGAGTCAGAGAAAGAGAGAGAGACACAGAGGGAGACAGATCAGAGACAGACAGACAGAGGGAGGGCAAGATCTCAAGGCCCCAGGCTGGGTAGCTCGGGCTGGGGTGGCCACTGAGAGAAAATGGTGACATTGGCGGCTTCTGAGGCCCCTGCCCTCCCCCCTCTCGCCCCCTGTCCCCCTCCCCCACGCCCTCAGCTCCGCAGGCCCCCTGGCCCCTCACCTGCACCCCAGCTCCGAGTCAGGAGGACAAGCAGGAGACCCAGTGCCCAGGGCTGGGGCCAGGGCACCTCCATGCTGAGAGGGCGACCTGGGGTGGGAGGGGCACGTGAGACTTCCGGACCCCGGCCCGCCCCTTCCTCCAGGCAGGGCTGTCAACACCCGGCCCCCCCCCCTCACTCGGGGGTCGGCTTTGGGGGCCCACTCTAAAATGACAACGCCTTTCTCCTCCATGAACTTTCACCCCCTAATTTGATCCAGTTGGGTTAATTAATTACAGAAATTGGTAAATCTAATATTCAGCTCTCAGCTCTCCACCCATCTGCACCCCCCTCTCCCAGCCGTGCAGCCCCGACCTCCTCCTTCAGACCCAGGGGTCCAGACCCAGCCTCCTCCCTCAGACCCAGGGGTCCAGACCCAGACTCCTCCCTCAGAACCTAGGGGTCCAGACCCAGCCTCCTCCCTCAAACCCAGGATCCAGACCCAGACTCCTCCCTCAGAACCCAGGGTTCCAGACCCCATCCCTCCTGGCCCAGGCCCCCCTCTGGCTCACCGCCGCCTTGTCCCCTGCGCCTGCAGCCCTGGCCAGTTCCCGTGACTGGGGACCCCAGTTCCTCTCTCACATCCTGTCTGGACACTGCACACCAACTCCAAGAACACCAACCCCGCCCCCCAGCTGCAGGACGCACCCCGGCCTGAGGCCCAGGCCGCCCCTCTGGAAAACTGTTTTGTTTGCTTCTTTGTCTTTCTCTTGCTGTCCAGCTTGTATGTGCAAAGTGACAGCCACCAGCAGGGCGGCTGGCCCCCACTGGGGAGAGCCGAGGAGGGGACCCACTGGGGCAGGTTCTTGCGGAGGTGGGGGACACCCCGGACTCAGGGAAGCTCTGGGGAGCACTCTGCCATCCTCAGAGGCACTGGATTGATGCCAGCTGACAGAGCTGGGAGCTATGGCCCTGTCCCCAGCCCTGGGTGGCACCAAAGACGCCCTGCCTAGCCAACCGCAGCTCCTGAGTCCAAACCTCAGAACTGAATACAAAAAAGACACCCCAGAACGTGGGGGGCTGGGGAAAAGGGCTCAGTGGTACTCATATACACATGTACTGGGTTCAACTCCCAGCACGATTACACACACACACACACACACACACATGCCACACACACACACACACATGCCACATACACATACTATCCCTTTAGTTTCTAAACAACACTTAGTAGGTGTTCCTGCTAGGAAGCCTATTGTCCTGTGAAGTGCCCCAGAGCCCTGTTGTCTGGACCAGCTCCAACACAGTTGTTTTTTTTTTTTTTTTGTGGGTTGTGGGGCTTGAACTCTGGGCTTAGGGGCTGTCCCCTGCACTCTTCAGCTCAAGGCAAATGCTCTACTGCTTGAACTACAGTGCCACTTCGGGTTTTCTAGTGGTTTATTGGAGATAAGAGTCTCATGGACTTTCCTGCCTGGGCTGGCTTTGAACTGCGATCCTCAGATCTCAGCCTCCTGAGTAGCTAGGATTACAGGC